GCAGAGATGGTTGCTCCTTTCCTCCTATTCTGGAGTTGTGAAATTCCTCTGGTCTCTGCTTAGTCCTCTGCTCTTGTCTTCTAACTTACTAAGCCAGGCAGCATTCTCTGCACCTCCATCTAAAGTCCATTTTCTCTTGCTAATCTTCATGCAACCACACCTGAGTCCTTCATTTTCCTCACTGTCCCAATCCATTTAGGTCAACTACTTTATTCCCTTAGATTTACCATGCAAAATGTTGACTTTATAATTTGTTTTTCCTACTTCCACCCCATTTTTCTCTTCCTGTACAGATCTGTGTGTCTCGCATTTTGGTTTGAGTCTTGCTTTTCCAGTTTGTCATGGTTCCACTACTCTTGAGATTTTTCATAATATATGGCGAATGCTCAGTTACGTGTTATAAAACATGGTTTTCTTATTGTTTCTTGTACACTGAACTTGTACTCCACACAAACATATTACACCGTTGGCTACAAACTAGTCAATACAAAAGTGTACTGTAGATTGAATAGTGTTATGTGTGATGGGGTGGCAGCAGAGAATTTCATGCAGATAATAGTTTGTAGTGCCTTTAAAACTGGGGATGAAAACTAGTAAACATCCACATTTAACTTTGTGCTTTGATTCCCTTAGGATGGCCAGGCAGAACCTGCCTTATTGTAAGAATGCTGTGAAATTAAAGCGTTTGTAAGTGTGACTTCAATTAATAGATACAGAGCAAGACTGGTTGGTTACTTGAGACTGACTGCCTCTGAATGGCTGCATCCTGTACTTTTCTTACCCAGACCAGACAAGAAACTTATGTGCTACAGATAAGACATTTTTGTCAGGGAGTCTTCAGGAAGTAGTCCTAATAATCTTTTTTTTTTGGTCATGGGGCTTGAACTCTGGGCCTGTGCACTGCCTCTGAGCTCTTTAGCTCAAGGCAAGCGCTCTACCACTTGAGCCACAGCACCACTTCTGGTTTTCTGTTGGTTAATTGGAGATAAGATTCTCATGGACTTTTTGGCCTGGTCTGGCTTTCAGCGGATTCCTCAGATCTGCCTCCTGCGTAGCTAGAATTACAGGTGTGAGCCACTGCTGACCAGCACATGTTCTGTACTTTTTTTTTTTTTTTTTTTTTTTTATTTTATTTTTTTATTGTAAAGCTACTATACAGAGGGTCACAGTTACATGAGTGAGGTTATGAGTACACTTCCTCTTGAACATTGTTACCCCCTCCATTGTTTTCCCCCTACCATCCCCTCCCTCCCTCCCTTTCTGTACTTTTTTTGCACTAACATGTTTTCATTTCTTTGTAATAAAAAAGCCCAAGAATACAGTTGCAGGGTCACAGGACAGATACATGGTTGTTGTTTTTTTTTTTTTTTTGGGTCCGGTTAGGGGGCCTGAACTCTGGGCCTGGGCGTTGTCCCTCAGCTCTTCAGCTCAAGGCTAGTGCTCTACCACTTGAGCCACAGCGCAACTTCCGGCTTTTTTCTTTCTGCTTATGTGGTGCTGAGGAATCGAACCCAGGGCGTCATGCATGCAAGGCAAGCGCTCTACCACTGAGTCACCTTCCCAGCCCAAGATACATGCTTTTTTTTTTGAAGGAAAATTATTTTTCAGAGCAGCCATGTCAATGTTGAATTCTTATTATGTACTATGAAATATATCTGTTCGCTTTTGGTACCAGCCTTGCTGCCATTGGTGTGTATGATTGCTTCCCCTAGCCCTGTTGGGAGTGAGGTGGCATTCCGTTTAGCCACAATGAATAATTCATCAAGCATTTTCATGGTTTGAGCACCCAGAAGGAAACTCCCTTGTCTTCCACAAAAGTGCACTAGCTACCAAGTGAATCACTCTACCTTTTTTTTTTTGGCTTATGATCAAACATCAAGAATCAAACATCATGGGGCTGGGAAGGTGGCTCAGGGGTAGAGCGCTTGCCTTGTATGCATGAGGCCCTGGGTTCAATTCCTCAGCACCACATAAGCAGATAAAGCTGGAAGTGGCATTGTGTCTCAAGTGGTAGAACGCTTACCTTGAGCTGAAGGTGAGCTGTCAGGCCATGGGACTGACAAAAAAAAAATAATCCAACATCATGCAAACTAATATTGACTGTAGAAAGTAATTGTTTCTATGAAAACTATATTGAATGCTTTGGGAAAGCAGAAAGGCAAGTTACTTAAATATTCATCAGCTGAGAAATTTCTTAAGGCCAGCAAAACTGGTCTGACTGTGGAAAGGTTCTGTTTCGCAAGTATCCAAGACCTTGCTTCACTTTCACTGAAAGTAAAAACAGTCTAGAAGTGCTGGTTCATAAATGATGAAAAGGTATTTGTAAATATGACCTATAATTTGAAGATGCACCTAAAAATTTGTAAATTAATGTGCCTTTTTGTTTCAAGTGAAAATAAAGTACTTCAGCTGGACATCAGTGGCTCACACCTGTAATCGTAGATACTCAGGAGGCTAAGATCTGAGGATTGCAGTTTGAAGCCTTCTGGAGAAGGAAAGTTCATGAGACTCTTACCTCCAGTTAACAACCAAAAAGCCCTAAGTGGAGCTGTGGCTAAATTGTTAGAGTACTAGCTTTGAGCAAAACAACTCAATAGCACCCAGGCCCTGAGTTTAAGCTCCTGGACCAGGACCAAAAAACAAAATAAAGCAGAGTGGTGGCTCATGCTAGTGGCTCGTTGCTGTAATCAGCTACTCAGGAGGCTGAGGAGTGAGGATCATGGTTTGGAGCCAGCCCAGGCAGAAAAGTCCCCATGAGAATCTTATCTCCAGTTAACCACTCAAAAACCAGAAGTGGAGCTGCAGCTCAAAGTGGTAGAGCACTAGTCTTGAGCAAAAGAGCTCAGGAACATCACCCAGGCCCTGAGTTCAAGCCCCACAACCAACCAACCACACACACACACACACACACACACACACACACACACACACACACACACCAACCAACTTAGAGTACATGTGTATTATTCTATGTCACACACACACACACACACACACACACACACAACAACAACAACAACAACCAATTTAGAGTACATGTGTATTATTCTATGTCCCACTTTGTACTCTTCCTGACTGCATCTTTTAGTGATTAGCTACTCTTCTTTATTACTACTACCCCTAGTCACTATCTTCCCTGATTTGCTACTTCAGCTTCCCAGTTGGTTGTCTGCCCCAAGTTTTACACTAGTTCCAGTTTCCTCCCAATTTTGGAGCTAGCATGGTTTATGAAGTATAAATCTTGCCGGGAGCTGGTGGCTCAGATCTCAGGAGGCTGAGATCTGAAGATGGCGGTTTAAAGCCAGCCTGGGCAGAAAAGTCTGTGAGACTCTTATTTGCAATTAACCATAAAAAGCTGGAAGTGGGCCTGGGAAGGTGGCTCAGTGGTAGAGCGCTTGCCTTGCATGCATGAGACCTTGGGTTCGATTTCTCAGCACCACATAAGCAGGAAAAAAAAAAAGCCAGAAGTGGTGCTGTGGCTCAAGTGGTAGAGCGCTAGCCTTGAGCTGAAGAGCTGAGGGATAGCACCCAGGCCCAGAGTTCAGGCCCCACGACTGGACCAAAAAAAAAAAAAAAACAAAAGCTGGAAGTGGAGCTATGGCTCAAGTGGTATAATGCTAGCCTTAAGCACAAAAGCTCAGGGATAGCACCCAGGCCCAGAGTTCAAGCTTCAGGACTGTTTAAAAAAAATCTTGTCAAATCTAAAACTGGGAGAGAGCAAGGGAAGGAGTGACATTGTTCAAAAAGAAATGTACTCATTACCTGATTTATGTAACTGTAACCCCTCTGTACGTACCTAACAAAAAAACTAAAAAACTTATAAATCCAGAGCTTTTGGAGTAGTTGATGTGGGGACTTACATCTGGCCTCTGCTTACCTCTGTAGACTCATGTAATAATTGCTTACTGCCTTCTCCTTTCTTCAAACTCTGTATGTCAGCTATGTTGACTTAATTGGTTTCCACAGTTTGTGAATCAGGTAATATTGGGGAATTGTGCCCTGATTTCTCATCTTTAGCCTTTGTGTATATTGTTTTTCTGCTAGTAACTTCTGTACCAATCTTTCACTCCAGAACTGATTTTCTGTCCTTCATGTCTCCACTTTCCTCTGAAAAGTCCCTCTGGTGTGATTTTCGTTTTTCTTCTTTTCTTTCCCTCCCCACTTCTTTCCCTACCTGCCTTCCTTTCCTTTCCTTTCTTTCTTTTCTTTTTTTTTTTTTTTGGTGTTGGTTGTGGGGCTTGAACTCAGAACCTGGATACGGTCCGGGAGTTTTTTGCTCAAGGCTAGTGCTCTACAACTTTGAGCCATAGTGCCACTTCTGGTTTTCTGGTTAATTGGAGATAAATCTCACACTTTCCTACCTGGGCTGGCTTTGAATTGCGGTCCTTAGATCTCAGTCTCCTCCAGTGCCCAGCTGGTGTGCTTTTCTAACATCCTGATTTCCATGCAAGCACAGTATTGTCTAAATTCTGCCTATATGTCCTTAAAAGCACTTTCACTCTTTAGTTATGTGTAGGTGGAGTTCTGATTTTGTTTGTTATAGTCTCTATAAATTGAGTAAAGAGGTGGTAGGCTGGCTTTGAAAAAAGATGGGTCAGCTGGGCACTGGTGGCTCACGCCTGTAATCCTAGCTACTCAGGAGGCTGAGATCTGAGGATCGCGGTTCAAAGCCAGCCCGGACAGGAAAGACCGTGAGACTCTTATCTCCAATAAACCACCAGAAAACCGGAAGTGGCGCTGTAGCTCAAGTGGTAGAGCACTTGCCTTGAGCTGAAGAGCTGAGGGACAGCGCCCAGGCCCAGAGTTCAAGCCCCACAACCGACAAAAAAAAAAAGAAAAAAAGGAAAAAAAGAAAAAAGATGGGTCTTGTTAAATTGCCAAGACTGGCCTTAAACTCTTGATGCTCCTTTCTCAGTTCCCTCAGTAGCTTGGGCTACAGGTGCATACTGAATATTATGGGTTCTCTGAAAAACTTGTAAAATGTTTCACTTCTTTTGTAGCTGCTGTCTCTGCTGGCCTTCATCTGTGAAGAGGTTATACCAGAATGTACTTTGTGTGGAGGACTATACTTTTTTGAATTTGTAAGCTGTAGCGCCTTTCTCCTGAGCCTCCTCCTGCTGATTGTGCACTGCACTCCACTGCATGACCGTGTTGATGCGGGAAAGGTCAAGTCATCTGTAAGTGGGGGAGGTCTAGTTCCTATAGTAAGGGCATAAAACACTGTCTTAAAATCTTGTGAGCTTTTATTGTGTATAATATATGCTTTCAGAATTTAATACTATGAAGAGACACTACCCATTATTCCAGTTCTCTGCTTGTAATCATCTTGCAAAAGATGATGGAGAGGGAAAGTAAGGTGGTGATAAGAGTGGCAAGACTTGGGCTGGGAAGGTGGCTCAGTGGTAGAGTGCTTGCCTTGCATGCATGAGGCCCTGGGTTCGATTCTTCAGCACCACATAACCAAAAAGAAAAAAGCCAGAAGTGGCACTGTGGCTCAAGTGGTAGAGCGCTAGCCTTGAGCTGAAGAGCTGAGGGCCAGCGCCCAGGCCCAGAGTTCAGGCCCACGACTGGAACAAAAGAAAAAAAAAAGAGTGGCAAGACTGCAATAGTTTACTTATTGGGGCTTAGTTTAATTATCTTAAAATGTGTCTACTATTTTAAACTTTTCTTTGTAAAACTTATTTCTCACATTACAGTGTCACTTATTATGAGTTGTATGACTATTATATGTGAAGCATTATGCTACATGTCAGAGATAATAGTAACGAACTAATGGCTATTTCTGAGGCTTTTCCATAAAACAATGTCCAATTCTATGCTTTGATTTCATTTTATTATGAAAAATGTTACCTGTAGTGCATAAAGAATGCATTTGTAGGGGCTGGGAAGGTGGCTCAGTGGTAGAGTGCTTACCTCGCATGCATGAGGCCCTGGGTTCTATTCCTCAGTACCACATAAGCAGATAAAGCTGTAAGTGGTGCTGTGGCTCAAGTGGTAGAGCGCTATCCTTGAGCTGAAGAGCTGAAGGACAGTGCCCAGGCCCAGAGTTCAGGCCCCACAACCAACAAAAAAAAAAAAAAGAAAAGAAAAAGAATGCATTTGTTGATTTCTTGTTAAGAAATTTCTCTTGTATTTACTGTATATTAGGGAAGCATTATTTTCACAAAATTAGAGATACTTTTTTGGGGGGGAGTAGTGGAATGTGAACTCAGGGCCCCAATGAGACAGTCTGCTAACCCTATTTCTATTTGTAAGGTTTGGATTTGTGGGGTGACAGATGAAATAATTTACTTAAGTCTTGAACTTAATAAGAAAGAATTGAGCAATTTACTTCTTCAGTAGTATTTGAATTGTCAATAGTGATCTGTGCAGAATTATGTATGTTGATATAAATGATATAAATGTTGATACAAAGGAACTCACATCTCTGAGGGTAAGCATAAAAATTGTCATAGAATCCAATTGCTAGTGATTCACACTTATAACTCTGGGTACTCAAGAAGGCTGAGATCTGAGGATCACAGTTCAAAACCAGACCAGGCAGAAAAGCTCATGAGACTTAAATCTTTTGGCAAAAAGCCAGAAGTAGAACTGTGGCTAAAGTTGGTAGAGCACCAGCTTTGAGTAAAAAAGCTAAGGGACAGTGCTCAGGCCCTAAGTTCAAGACCCAGTACTGGCATAAAACAGCCACAGAAATCACCACTGGGCTTTGGTGGCTCAAAAATGTAATCCTCACTACTCAGGAGGCTGAGATCTGAGGACTGCAGTTCAAAGCGAGCCCAGAAAGGAAAGTCTATGGGCCCAAAGCATGGATAGAATTTGAATGCCAAGTTTATTGAAAAGTTACATGTTGGGGTATAAAAGTAAGTCATTGAAGCTTTTGAAATTAAAAAAATGTTTCCATGAGTCTAACTATACTTTATTCCTTCTGTGTGCACAGGATTTTTATATCACGTTGGGAACAGGATGCGTATTTTTGTTGGCGTCTATCATTTTTGTTTCTACTGATGGCAGAACCATAGCTGAAGTTGCTGCAAGTGTAGGTATTTTGTATCTGTAACTGCTTATTTTCATTTCCTTAGAGATAAGAGAATTTGGGAAGTACTAGATGAGTTTTACAATATGCGAAGGTAGTTTGTCTTTTATTGTTTAATATTAATTTGAATAGAAAACCTAGAGGTAAATAAATATGATAGTCTTAAAAACACAGAATCTGAACACTGATAGCTCACGCCTGTAGACGTAACTATTCAGGAGGCTGAAATCTGAGGATCTCAGTTTGAAGCCATCCCTGGCAAAGAAATCTGTAAGACTATCTCTAGGTGGGTGCTGGTGGCTCACACCTGTAATCCTAGCTACTCAGGAGGCTGAGATCTGAAGGTCATGGTTCGAAGCCAGCCTGGGCAGCAAAGTCCCTGTGAGATTATCTCCAATTAACCACTTAACAACCAGAAGTGGTGTGTGGCTCAAGTGGTAGAGCACTAGCCTTGAGCACAGATAGTCTAGGGACAGTATCCAGACCCTGAGTTCAAGCCTCATAACTGACAAAAAACAAAATAAAAACCCAACAAAACTATCTCTAATTAACCACCAAAAACTCAAGTGGTAGAACATTAGCTCCTCTCTAGCAAAAATGCTAAGGGACAGTGCCCAGACCCTGAGTTGAAGTTCAAGTCCCAGTACCAGCACAAATCAAATCAAAACAAAACAATGGTGACATTGATCAAGGTGCATTACATTCATTGACACGTTGAATTGAAATGCCCTTACTTAGAAAATAGTTTTTAAAAAGCCCAAAGGAAAAAAACATGCAAATTTTTCCAATATATAAATCACATGTTCAGAAAATTTTTAAAAGTCTAAAGAAACTGTTTAAAAGTTTAGTTTTGTTACATATATGATCTATAGAAATGATAAAAAATTTTTATCATTTATAAATTTTTCCACAACTATATGTCAGGTACTATTCTAGGAATATACAGGAGACATAACTCAACAATTCAGTCCCATAAAGAGATAGGTAGAGGAATAAATGAAGTATATAAAAATGAACTGGTAGAAATTCATCTAGGTAGTGAGGCTTAATAATACTAGGTCTTGAACTAGGGCCTTGTGCTCCACTGTGTAGCCCTTTTGCATTTTATTATTTTTAGTTTTTATTTTAGTTTTTGTTTTTCTCCAGATAGGGTTTTGTGTTTTGCCCACATCAGCCTCAAATACCTTTGTCAAAAACCCTTGTCTTCTGAGAAGCTGAAATGACAGGCTTATGCCACTACACTCAACTAGACTACAGTCTTTAATAGATAATACATATGTTTACAATTTTATCAAGACTGGGGAAACAAAGGAGGAGGCTACAATTCTTGATAAGAAATGTACTCATTATCTTGCCCATGTAATTGTAACCCCTCTGTACGGTATTTTCACAATAAAAAAAAAAAAAGAAAAAAAACAATTTTATCAAGACTGTCTTCTAAGGAGCACTAGGCAGGAATAGTTTTGTTATTTTTTTGTTTTTATTTTTTTTTTGCCAGTCTTGGGGCTTGAACTTAGAGCCTGGGCACTTTCTCTAAACTTTTTTGCTCAAGGCTAGTGCTCTATCACTTGAGCCACAGCTCCACTTCTGGCTTTTTGGTGGCTAATTAGAGATAAGAGTCTCAGAGATGTTCCTGCTTGGGCTGGCTTTGAACTGCAAGCCTCAGGTCTCAGTCTTCTGAATAGCTAGGATTATAGGCATGTGTTAAAAGCACAAGGCTAGGAATAGTTTTTAAGGAAGTTGATTTCCATGTTTTTAACCTCCATATATAACTTTTCCTTTAATATATGTGAGGACTCATCTCTGGAGAGGAATCCAGCCAGTTCTTTTCCACTTTCCCTTTTACAGACTCCGTCACTCCTTAAAAGAAAAATGTAGTTGCCTGTCCCAAATCTTAACTGTTGTGTGTTGCCTTAAATTACAAAACAGAACAAAACAAAACACACTTTAGTACATCAAGTACAGCAAAGGAACAATTAAAAATAAGGATCTAGCTTTTGGTGGTTTTTTTTGTTATTGTTTTTTTCCAGTTCTGGGGCTTGAACTCAGGGCATGGACATTGTCCCTGAGCTTCTTTTGCTTAAGGCTAGCGCTCTACCATTTGAGCCACAGTGCCACTTCCAGCTTTTTCTGTGTATGTGGTACTGAGGAATAGAACCCAGGGCTTCATGCATGCTACATAGGCAGTCTACTTCTAAGCCACCTTCCCAGCCCAAGGATCCAGTTTTTATCTGTCAAGATTTATGTTTATAATTCAATTTCTGGATTTCAGAAAAATAACACTGTATATATTATAAATTACACAATAGTTTTGGAGGGCCTGGGACCACCCCGTAATAGAGAATGCTGTTAATGAGGCAAAATACACAAATAGTTGTAGTATGGAGATGACTAAAGGATGTAGGGTTCATGTAAATTTTGAATCAAGTGAATGATAAAAATGTAGACTTTTTGTAGGTTTCTGGGTTACACAGTCGTAATCAAGGATCATGAACCTAGTCTGGTACCATTGTTGTGAATGACAAACAGTGGGATAAATCCTTGCACGTTAGCTTGTTTCCATTAGTATTTTGCTTTTAATCAGTTAAGGTTGTAATTAATACAGTTGCTAGCAAATAATAGAATATTAAAATTACCTTTATGATAAAACAACATAAAAGGAGTTCAGAGAGTTACACGGCAACGATATATTTACCTAGTCGTGTAACTTCAGTTTCTTAGCACTTTACACATGTAAAAAACATAAAATTACAGCTGAGTGCCAGTTAAATACCAAAAAGCCAGAAGTGGAGCGTTAGTTCAAGTGGTAGAGTACTAGCCTTGAATACAAGTTTTAGGTAGTACCTAGACCCTGAGTTCAAGCCCCAGGTCCAGCACAAACCAAAAAACAATAAAAGCTACCCCCCCTTAAAAACACAGCTACAATTGTATTCCTTGACTGGTTCTTGCAATGAGTATTACCTATCCATGGATACATAAACCAGTCGAAGAGAGTATCACAGTTTGAATAGGGTCTTATATTAATTTCAGTTTATATACTTATTTTTATCACAATTATGATATGGTGATAGATAAAATACAAGCACAAAATATTCCTATAAAATTCTGGAGGGTAAATGAAATGAAGTTAAAGGAAAATTGAGTTCTAAGAGGGAAAATCAATTTTTTTGTCTTTTCTTTTTTGGTACTGGGGATCGAACCCAGGACGTTGCACTTGCTAGGCAAGTGCTTTGCCACTGAGCTACATCCCAGCCCGGGAAAATCAATTTTTAAAAGACAAGTACATACTTATGTAGATGAAGTCTTCAATTGTTTCAGTGTTCAGTTTTCTTTGGACATATTTAATATAGTGACGTAGTTTGAGAAGCCAGTAATAGGCTGGAAATTGCCTTTTTTTTTTTTTTTGTAGGTCGTGGGTCTTAAACTCTGGACATGGGGCCTGTCCCTCAGCTCTTCAACTCAAGGCTAGCACTCTACCACTTAAGCCACAGCACCACTTCCGGTTTTCTTGTGGTTAATTGGAGATAAGCATCTCATAGATTTTCTTGTCCAGGCTGGCTTTGAACCTTGATCCTCAGATCTCAGTCTCCTCAGTAGTTAGAATTACAAACGTGAGCCACTGGTGCTTGGCTTAGAAATTACCATATATATATATTTCTTTTATATATGTTTACATTATGAAAAAAATAAGGACTTAGGGAATCAATTTAAAAGGCAAGTAAATAAATCTGCAAAGTATGTGAGCAAAAGACCAGAAGATAACTTGTCAGGATTGTGTGATGTAGAGGGTCTAGTGGGACTGAAGCTCTGTGGTGGGGACATTGTGGCAGAGATGACATGTGGTCTGTATTTGAAGTATTTAGGAAGCTTACCAGGGAAGTGAAGGGATGCATACATGCCACCAAAACAAAACACACTCCAGACTAGAGAAAGATTGGTGGGAGTGGGCTGATAAGTTGGCTTTGCTGGGGGCACCCTGGTTATTCAATAGATTCAAGAAAGCAGTTTTGTTAATTGGGCACCTGTGGCATGCCTGTGATCTTAGCTACTCAGGAGGCTGAGATGTGAGTATTGTGGTTCAAAGCTAGATTGAGCAGGAAAGACTGTAAGACTTTTACCTCCAATTAACCACCAAAAAAAAGGAAGTAGAACTGTGACTTAAGTGGTAAAATGCTAGCATTGAGTGAAAAAAAAACTGACGAACCTCATAAGCCCTGAGTTCAGGCCTCATAGTATTGACACAGACAAACAAAAAACATCAACAATGAATGATAGAATGTGATTTCTTTAGAGAGGTTGGGAAAGTAAGAGTCAGGAGGCTGCAACAGATTGCCGTAGAATGTTAATGGTCATAGAGGTGCCAGCCAGGCATGGTGTACATCTGCAGTGCTAGCACGCAGGAGGCTGAAGCTGGAAAATCATGAACTCAAGGCCACTTGGGCCAAAAATGGTTCCCCCCATATGCAGTTGTGGAGTGGAATCATCACCTACTGTAATGTCTCTTTTAGCTTCCATTTTCCTTAAGGGTTTTGCTAGCTGAAGAAGCTAAATTTGAAGCCTGGTCTTCTGTCTATAGATGGAATTCTCAGAATGTTTAGTCACATGTTAGAAGAGACACTGAGGAAGTGATTTAAGGAAGAGGAAGTAGGTAGTGGCGTCATGTTGCTGTGTCATTGCAGTGTGACAATTACCTGGAAAACTTTTAACCTCATTTTTTTTTTTTTCCAAAATGGAGTTTCTGTTTGACTTCAGTAACTTACTCCATTTTCACCTGGCCTGAGTTGCATCTTTACTCTAATCACATGTATGGTCAGTCTAACCATCACTAAAAAAATCCTGTGTTTCATGTCATTTTTTAAGGATTTTATTTTTTCCTCTACTGAGTTTGGTTTTATAGATTGACATGTCATATATGCTGTATATCTAGGATAGGATATTTGGGCTGTTGTGGAATACTTGCCTAGCATACATTGGGCCCTGGGTTTTGATCCCCTGTATCACAAAAACAAAAGGACATTAATAACTTGTGAAACTTTGACTAATAGCTGTTATTCTGGACATTTTTTGTGACTTCTTTCCATTTTTTGGAGGAGAGGAGTCATTACTGGGGTTTTGAACTCAGTTCCTCACACTTGCTAAAGTAGGTTCTCTACACTTGAACCATTCTACCAGCCCTTTTTGTGGTTTTTTTTTTTTTTTTGTGGGTCATGGGGTTTGAACTCTGGGCCTGGGCGCTATCCCTGCACTCTTCAGCTCAAGGCGATTGCTTTACCATTTCAGCCACAGCACCACTTCTGGCTTTCCTAGTGGTTTATTGGAGATAAGAATCTCATGGACTTGGGGCTGGGAAGGTGGCTCAGTGGTAGAGCGCTTGCCTTGTATGCATGAGGCCCTGGGTTCGATTCCTCAGTACCACATAAGCAAAAAGAAAAAAGCTGGAAGTGGCACTGTGGCTCAAGTGGTAGAGTGCTAGCCTTGAGCTGAAGAGCTGAGGGACAGCGCCCAGGCCCAGAGTTCAGGCCCCACGACCGGACCCCCCCCAAAAATAAATAAAAGTAAAAAAAGAATCTCATGGACTTTCCTGCCTGGGCTGGCTTTGAACTGTGATCCTCAGATCTCAGCCTCCTAAGTAGCTAGGATTACAGACGTAAACCACCAGCGCCCGGCAATGTTGATTATTTTTTGAAATATGTTTTTCTTTATGCCCAAGCTGTCCTGAACTGCATTCCTCCTATGCTTTCCTGAGTCTCTGGGATGACAAGCATGTGCCACTGTGCCCAGCCATTGTGCTGCTTCTGTAGTTGTTGGATGACAAGTATGCATGCCATTAGTTGAGATGGAGTCTAGTGAACTTTGTCCAGCCTCAAACTGCAATCCCTTGATTTCTGCCTTCCAAGTAGCGAGGATTATAGAGTTGAACCTCTGTGACTGACACTTCTGTCTTTTTCTTTTTTTTTTTTTTTGTGCTGTTCTGGGGCTTGAACTCAGGGCCTGGACTCAGCTTTTTTGCTCAAGGCTAGTGCTCTACTTCTGGCTTTTTAGCGGTTGATTGGAGGTAAGTCTCATGGACTTTCCTGCCCAGGTGGGTTTGAAAAGCAATCCTCAGATCTCAATCTCCGAAGTAGGATTACAGGTGTGAGCTACTGCTCGCAGCCACTTCTTTCCATTTTTTGATGGCCTAATTTTTTTTTTCACCATTCAAAAGTAGTAGATATTATTGATAAATGAGCCAGGCACTGGTGGCTCCCGCCTGTAATCTTAGCTACTCAGAAGGCTGAGATCTGAGGATCGAGGTTCAAAGCTCAAAGCCAGCCTGGGCAGGAAAGTCCGTGAAACTCTTTCTCCAATAAAACACCACCAGAAAACCAGAAGTGGCTCTGTAGCTCAGGTGGTAGAGGACTCGCCTTGAGCTGAAGAGCTGAGGGACAACGCTCAGGCCCAGAGTTCAAGCCCTATGACCGACCAAAAAAAAAAAAAAATTGATAAATGGTCTTGCTTGCTTGATGTACTCTCAGAGTTCAGTAGGAAATGTGAGATTGTATCTTCTTCTTCTTACGTACATTTTTCTTCTTTTGCTTCTCAAGTTTGGATTTATAGCAAGTTTTATGTTCCTGTTTGACTTCATTGCTATGTTGTATGAAAAACGACAAGAGGCCCAGCTGAGAAAACCTGAGACTACCAAAGCAGAAGCCCTCACAGAACCACTGAACGCTTAAAGCTGAGGAGCTATGAAGCAGAAGAGGGCAACTTCACCCACACCCGCCCTGGCACGAAGCTTTCATGTGTCTAACTGTTTAAGCCTAGGGCAGGTGCAGGAGGGCAGTGCTGTCAATATTGGACTTTATGGCTGTCACTGCAAATTAGGTTGGAGGGGTTTTTATTATTTTTTAAAACTTTGCTACTAAAATTGGTCTCATGCAGGATTTTTTTAGGAGGAGAGGGATTGCTTGTTTAAATCACATAGGTCCACTGATGATAAATGATTATGTTGCTCTGCTACAGGGCATTCTGTTATGTGGCTTAGCTTCTAAATTACCATATAGTACTGTGTAAACAGCATGGTTGTATTCAGCCATTTAGAAGTTTGATTTTAAAATTAATTTGCTTAGCTATTAATGATTACTGTTGAAGATTAGATTATGTTCTGTTATTAGAAAAGTAATGTTTATTTAAGAGATCCATATTTAAAATATTGGTGTTAGGGTTTTTTCTTAATATATAATACTTGGCCTTACTGTATCTCACTCAGCTTTAAACTTATGGTAACTGTTTAGGATAATCACTTTTTCTGAGACTTTGTATAGCTTACTATAAAATATATGGAAGATGTTGGTATTTTATATGTATAAAAGCAACATCAGCAACCTCATGATTATATTGCACTTTGGTTGGAGATGTGTAACATATAGAAAAATGGTAAAAATAGATATTACACCTAAAGACCAAAGAAAGGCTAGACTTTTGCCCACCTACAGTGGAAATAAAAACAGACTTCAAACGCTTAGTGCGTATGTGAAGAGGTGAGTTCATATTGAGGTAGAACCAGTCAGTCATCTTATTGGCATGTGTTGTTTCTACTTAAATAATGCAGCTCCACAGGCTCTCAGGGTTTTCTTTGAGCCAGTCTTTGTTGTTGCTGTTGTTGGTTGTGGGGCCTGAACTCTGGGCCTGGGCGCTGTCCCTCAGCTCTTCAGCTCAAGGCTAGCGCTCTACCACTTGAGCCACAGCGCCACTTCCATCTTTTTCTGCTTATGTGGTGCTGAGGAATTGAACCCAGGGCGTCAGGCATGCAAGGTAAACACTCTACCACTGAGCCACCTTCCTAGCCCCAGTCGTCATCTTTTTTTGTTTTGTTTTGTTTTAACCCACAGCCCTTGATTTCTCTCCAGGTGCTCCTTTTTCTGACTTTTGGTCAGGATGGTCCATGTTCTGCTTTCCCATGTAACAGAGGTGAGCTCTGACTCTTATTCTTGCATGTTGTAGGTGTATCTAGGATCCAGTGTCTTGGGCCCTTGTACTTGGAGCAGTGTGTAGCAGTCACTTGTGGGTCTTACTTCCCATGTAAACATTGCTGGAGTTTCTTCTTGCAATGATTCTCTGGAGACCTTGTTCACTGTAAGACTACTGATGGTATAAAGGAATGTACACACCATTCACAAGACTCTATAGCTGGACAAATGGTCTGTTGCAGGTCTTGGGATATATGCCTTTTTTGCCCAACTTTACAGGCTAGAACTTTTTTATCCTCTGTCTAGAGTCTTGCCTAAGACTCCAGAACTACAGGTGCACCCATTAAATCTCCCTGTACTTTGATAGGGGGTTCATAGGCTAGATTTTCTCTGAAATAATGGAATCATGTTTCCAGGGATACATTTTAATGTCCCCTTTAATATCATCTTTTTAGTTTTTCAGCTGTGTATTTTCACGCTTAAGAAGGGTTTCAGTTATATGCATGGCTCAGAAATGGGTCAGACATGGCTCTGTTCTGTGTTACTGAATCTATAACCAACTTGTGTCAGAATGTAAGTCCTGGTGTTAGTTTTGGCATCACTGTTGCCTGCTTGGGACATAATGAAACCAATGACAGATGTTTTTTACTGGGCTTGTCATTTAAGCAAGGAAGAAGAGCTGGGCCTTGGGAGCAGAGTAAAGACTGATTCAAAGGTAACCAGTTAACTGTAGGCACCTGTAAAATTTCACATCGAACTCTGCTGTTGGTCATTTTGAATGTCACTGACAGCCATTTAGATCTCACAGCAACTTACACGGGCTATCTCACTGTCTTCGTCTGTGACAGTTTTCTATTACCGCAACAATATACCCAGACAGCAAACTTAGGAAGAAAAGAAGATTTATCTTGGCTCAGAGTTTTGGGGATTTCTGTCCATGGTCACTTGCCCTGTTCCTTTTGGTGTTGTGGTGAGGTGTACCTCAGGTGGGGAGTGTGTGATAGAGGAAGTTGCTCACCTCATGGCATCCAAAAGCAAACAGAAAAAGTCAGAGACTAAGGCCCTCCAGTTGCCTCCAAGGGCCTAACACCTCCCACTAGCCCCACCAGGAAAAGTCTCCAGCACCTGCTAGCTGTGTCATTCTGGGGAAGAAGCCTTTGGGGGCTGTGGCAGCACCTGTGCTCTGGGCTTGGTGGGGATTGGCAGGCATTCCAGTAGCCGGCCTCGCTGCGGCAGCTGCTCGCTCAGGTTTCCTTAGAGCAGAAGAGGCTTCTTGTTTGCACACTCAGTCTTATCCTTCTAGAAAAGTACTTTGTTTACTTGTTTGTTTGTTTTTCCACTCTTAGAACCTTCCATTTATTCTGTTGTGAAAGGAGATGGATTACAAGGCCCACTGTAGTAATAAGCATGCTCTCCAGGACTTGGGACCAGAAGTGGGCAAACCTTAGTAAACTCAGATATCAAGTAATTTTTTTTTTATTAACAGCTGTGGTAAATTTGTTACATTTTATAGAAATATTTGTTTAGAATGCTTCTTAAGAATTATAAGGGAATATACTTACAGTATAAAGTTTTATAATTACTATACTTAAATTATGCTTTATTTGGGGACTGGGAAATGTATTTTTACATTGTTTATGGCCAATCATTTTTGTATTTGTCAATTTAAATCCTGTGGGTCTTTTTTTATTTCAATGTCAAATTTTGAAGTGTACTTTTAAATAAATCCATTTAATTAAAATGTTCTCTTTCTGTAGACATTTATTAGTCATTAATAAAATCATGACATTTAATAAAGCACTGTTTGTAGTTGTAGGAGCTGGCTGTACAACTTTCTCCTCCTTCTCCTCCCCCCCCTCCGCCCCCCCACCCTTCCTCCTCTTCCCACCCTTCCTCCTCCTCCTGGGCTTGAACTCAGAGTTTGGGAGTTCTCCCTTAGGTGTTTCACTCAGAGAGTGTGCTCTGTCACTTGAGCCACTTTACTTCTGGCTTTTTGGTGGTTAACTGGAGGTAAGAATCTCATGGACTTTTCTGCCTGGATTACCTTCAAACTGTGATCCTTAGATCTCAGTTTCCTAATTAGCCAGGATTACAGGTATGAGCCACCAACCCCTGGCTGTACAACTTTGTTGAGTGCCTGTGTAGAACGCTAAAGTGTGGGCCTACCTCCCGAGGTTAAGGGGAGAGGCTAGAAAAGAAAAAGTACGTTTTTATGATGAGCAGTTCCTCTTGTTGGGAGGTTACATTCACATTTACCAGTTTTCTTTTTCTTTTGTATTTTTTGCCTTTGTTTGTTTGTTTGTCCATCCTAGACTGGAACTCAAACTGTATCTGACACTTGTTGGCCGATGCTCTAACACCTGAACCATACTTCCAACCCTCACCTAACATTTTCAAACAATTTTTATTAGCTTCCATTTGTTACCTAGAGGGGGATTTCACTGTTACATTTCCACATATGTTTACAATATATGCTGATCAATTTCACCCCATCTGTCAACCAATGTAAAATAAACATTTTTACTGGGTGTGGTGGTAATAGGCTTATAAACTTAGCATTTAGAAGTTGAGGCAGGAGGGCCCTGTGAAGGTTGGAGCCTAGCCTTGGCTACATAATGACTGTCTCAGGAAACAAAAGCAAACCAAAAACCCAGAGTATTTTAGGGGGCCACACTCAAAGCTTTATGAAAGAATGTTACCATCTCAATGCCTTTAAATTTCAAAGAAGTGAATTTGGACTCAGGCACATTTCCAGACCTGGTTAAACAATGTAACGAACAAAACAGGCACATTCTGTTCACAACCAGTTAATGACTGTGTAAGGGGGAAACAAAGCTGGGGAGGCTCTGGTGAGGCTGGAACTATTTGTGCAGTCTGCAGAATTCCTGCCTACAGTGGGGTTGAGAATAACAAGGTCTTTATACTCATCAGGAACCCACTGACTTTGGTACATTCTTCCGAGTTTGCTGTTTGGTGTTGAGGGAGAGCATTGTGTCAATACACAGTGTGCTGTAAGGAACAGAAAACCTAACTCAATGTGTCTTAACCAGGAAGGAAAAGTTCTTTCACAAGCAGTCTAGGAAGGGCATCAGACTCAGTAGCATGGCCTTTATAGTTCAGCTACTTATGAGGCTAAGACAAGGGGATCACTTTTGAGCCCAACAAATTTACCAGGTCAACCTGGTAAATTCAGTAGCTCAACAAGGGTCACTGTGGACCCAAGTTGTTACTGTGATGTATTTTATTGTGGGGTTTGAACTAAGGGCATAGGCACTGTCTCTTGAGTTTTTGTGCGGAAGGCTAGCGCTCTACTACTTTGAGCCACAGCTCTACTTCTTTTGTGTATGTGTGTGTGTGTGTGTGTGTGTGCACGCGCACGTGTGTGTGTGTGTGCGGGCGTGCATGTGTGTTGGTGATTAATTGGAGAGTCTCACAAATTTTCCTGCCCACGCAGGCTTCAAACTGCAATCTTCAGATCTCAGCCTCCTGAGTAGTGAGGATTACAGGTGTGAGCCACCAGCACCTGCTGTTACTATGATTTCTGCCCATCATTTTCTGCTCTTAGCTGCTGCTGCTTTATCCTTTGTACAATGGTGACAATGTGTCCAGATTTCATTGGCTGGCCCAGGGTCCAAAGGAGAGAAAGAAATGTTTGGTCTCCTGTGTTTCCCTTAGGATGTTCTTTTTCACTGAATCTCAAAAATGTGTGTGTGTGTGTGTGAGAGAGAGAGAGAGAGAGAGAGAGTACTAAGTTGAATTCAGGACCTCATGATCTCACTTGGCTCTTTTGTTCAAGCCTGGCACTCTACCACTTGAACCACATCTCCACTTCCAATTCTTTGTTAGTGTGTGTGTGTTTTCTGCCCAGGTTGGCTTCAAGCCACAATCCTCCAGTCTCAGCCTCCTAAGTAGCTAATATCACAAGCATGAACCACCAGCACTAAGCTTATTGTCTGGATTTTTAGAAGTATCTGAGTATAGAATTCTAAGTTGATAAGTGTTCTTCCTCATGTGGGAAAAAAAATCTTTTCTATCAACTCAAAGTTGCCTTCATCTTATATATTGATATTTCCTGGAATGATTTGCTTTTTGACTTCAGTTGTAACTATTATCTGTACTGTTTATGACCTGTCAGCCATGTTAGGAAGATAAATCTTTACCAAAGAAGATGTAAGAATAAACTGTGTGCTGCTTGGGACCAGCTAATCATATTAGGAAAATAAACCTTTATCAATGGAGTTAAAAGGAATAAGAAGACCCCTTTGAGTGGGGGCTTTTTTTCCCCTTTCAGTTATAGACTTGAACTCTGGGCCTGGGTACTGTCCCTCTGCTCTTCAGCTCAAGGCTAGTGGTCTACCACTTGAGCCACAGCACCACTTCCAGTTTCCTGGTGGTTTATTGGAGGTAAGTTTCACAGACTTTCCTGCCCAGGCTGGATTTGAACCGTGTTCCTCAGATCTCAGCTTCCTGAGTAGCTAGGATTACAGGTGTGAGCCACTGGCGCCTGGCTGAGTGGGGGCTTTCTACTGACGCCATCAACCTCCTCCCACTCTGTCAGCACTCTGTTCCCAGTCCTGCTCCCAGCCAGCTGTGATGGGGAAAAATGTAAATACTTGATAATAATTACCTTTCTAACCTTGGTAATCAGTTGTTAGACAGTGAGCCTAACTTCTTGATAA